GAGAAGATTTTTAGGCTGTTTTAGTGATGTGCTAATAAAGATAACATTCCTATAAACTTTCTTATACACCCTCTTAATATATATATATATACTGAGTGGCCAGGTTATTATGACCACCTGACGGAAAAAAGAACATGAGTATTATACATCGGTGAGTTACAGGGAGGAATTACAGAGTGTAGGTGGGGGGAGCTGCCCTGCCTGAGTGCAGCCATTGGTGACATCTGAAGTGAGGAGCAATGCTGTGGTCTGTGGTCGTTCCCTCTCCCACCCTCCTGCCTGGAGCTACTCCAGGAGCCCGGGCACCAGGCCACTCCCCTCTCCTATGCCCTGAGATCACTGCCATTTGAAGGCCCTGCCTGAACCCAAAGGTCCTTAGAGCAAGGTCTTCAGGAAAAGCAGCCAGACCCCCCTAAAGGCGCCCAGGATGGGCTCCCAAAGGCCACAGGGTGAGCCACAGTGAGAGGGGGCAGCCTCGGGGGGCAGCCTCGGGCGTGCGCCTCCCCCTGACGGAGGCTGTGGGCCCTCAGGGACCCTGGGCAGGCACCGGAGGAAACAGGGAAAGGAGCTGCCGGAGGCCAGCAGCCTGGGGTCAGGACCGTCTGCCTCCGGGAACCCTGCTGGGCTGCTCTTCACTGACAGAGAAACCGAGCCTCAGCGAGGACATCCTGGCACTCTGGGTGGACAGCGGTGTCGGGCAGGGCGACCGGGGGGTGTGGACGGAAGGCGTGATGTGCCTGGCAGTGTGAGCGAGCAATTGCCTGGACCCTCGGTGGGGACACTGCCGTGCCTGCAGCGGTGGGTGGTCCGGGGCAGACACCAAGCCCCAGGCTGTTAAGTTGGAAGTGACTCTAGAGCAGTGGTTCTCAACCTTCCTGATGCCGCGGCCCTTTAATACAGCTCCTCATGTTGTGGGGTCCCCCAACCATGAAATTATTTTCGTTGCTACGTCATAACTGTAATGTTGCTACTGGTATGAATCGTCATGTAAATATCTGATATGCAGGATGTATTTTCATGGTTACAAATTGAACATAATGAAAGCATAGTGATTAATCACAAAAACATTTTCTGATGGTCTTAGGCGACCCCTGTGAAAGGGTCGTTCGACCCCCAAAGGGGTCATGACCCACAGGTTGAGAACCGCTGCTCTAGTGGGCGTGTAGACCTCTGTCCTTCCAGGTGAGCCACCGGGGCCAGAGCAAGCCAGGCAGTAGCCCAGGGTCACACAGAATTACTGCAGGACAGGCCCAGGCCTGGGTCTCCTGATGCCCGTCTGACCGCCTGTGTGCCCTGAGCCCCTGGCCCGGTCCGGCGGCCGAGCGCGGAGACAGCGGGCTTCTCCTGCGCACCCGGAGGCCCTCCCGCCACCTCCTCAGGGCCCCGAGCTCCCGCCTGTCTCATATCCTCTGGATGGGAGAAGCCTGGGTAGGCTGTTGCCCATGGCCAGGTGCTGCAAACTCGGTGACCTGCGTGGGAGGGGTTGGCCTCTGCCGGAAGAAGCGGCTGACTTCCGGGAAACAGAGTCACCACTGGACTTCCCCTGGCGGAGGACGCTCTGAGCCAGACCCAGTTCTCAGCATCAGGGGGGCTGTCCTCGCCCCTCGCCCGGCCCCTGCCAGGAAGCCTCCACTCACCTGAGCCCCACGTTCTCTGCAGCTCCGCCCGCCCCTCCCCACCGCGCCAGTGCCCTGCGCGCTCACGGTGTTCCTCTGTCTGCGTGTGTCTCTCCTGGAGGGTCAGGGCCCGGGCCTCCTGGTACCTGTGGTGGCTCACCCCCTTCCTCTGACACTGCTTGCTCCCTCCCTCCTCCCGGGCTGTGGCAGAATTCTCTGCAGGTGCTGTCATCCGTCAGTCCTCCCACGCCCCTCTGCACAGAGGGATAATTCAGACTTTCCCTCCTGAACGGGGTTTTGGGAAAAGTCCTGACTTCGAATGCGATGCAAGCCTGTCTGTCGGGATTGTACTTGACCACGCCTCACAAAATGCATCTAGCCTTGGTTCCAGCTGGTGTGAGCATGGATTTCTCCTTGCAGAATGAGAAGAGGGGGCGTCCAGAGAGGGGAGGGCCTCAGTGATGCCCTCAGAGACCAGTCCTCCCCAGGGCTCCTCCCTCGGCTGCAATCTTCGCTGCCTGTCCACCGTCTCCCCCCCCGCCCCCCCGGGTGGTTGTGCCAATGTCGCAGGCAGGTGTGAGGGCCAGAGCTGACGGCTGTATGAGAAGGTGGACCCGTAAGGTGTTCACAGGCGCCACATGGGAGGCGTTCCCCTCCTCCTGATGTCCCACTGCCCTGGGGGTGACCAGGCTGGCTTGCCGAGCACCCCGCCCCCCACTCTGGGACCCTGATGGCGCCTCCTCCTGGAACACGGAAGCACAGTGAGCGCTGCTCCCGCTAGACCAGGCTGTGGGGCTGCTGGTCAGTCTGCAGATCTCCGGAGAAAGGTTTGGAAGCCGAGATAACGCACCCGCTCCTTTAACCAAAGGATGGTCCTGGGGAAGTGCCCGCTCCACCCAGTAGACAGCAGCCCCAGCAGCGCAGAGGGCGGCCTCGGCTCTACCGGCCCTCAGCTGGCGCAGCTGAGAGGTCACAGCTGTGGGGGCCGCGGGGAGGGACACTGTCCTCCCACTGCTCCCGACTTCTGCTCTGGGCCAGCTCCCCCCACGACAGAGACCCCTGGACTGGTGCTGGCGCCCGCGGGGGACTTAGTTCGGACCCTTCAGTCCTGAGCAGCCTTTGGTGACCTCTGTCAGCCAAGTCCAAGGGTCCTGAAGTCCATTGCGGGCAGCGATGCTCTGTCACACGGAGAGGAGAGGAGGCGTCCTGGCGTGCGTCTCGGCCTCGCCAGCCAGCTGTGCACGCAGGCCCGGCATCAGCCAGCGGGAGCCTCGGTCCCCATCTGACTGGTGTGGTGTCGGGAGCTCGGGACAGCAGCGTCCTGTGCTGTGGCCTCTGCTTTCACGTGGCAGCTGAGACATGCCGCCCACGTGTGAGCGCCCTTCCCATCACGGGACGTGGAGGCCAAGGGAGAGGTCGGTGTATTCTCCATCCGCCCCTCCTGGCGTCATCCGCACCTTGCACCGAGGCGCATGCAGTCTGTTCTTACTGAATAAAAGCAAACCAAAACAAGAAGGAAAGAAAAAAACAGTGAGGCATGAACTTGAATTCAGGGTAGATTTAAGAAGACAGGCTTCTAGCAGACGGGTTTACTGCTGTTTACGAGGTAGGACTGGAGCAGTCGCCTTCCTCTGTGGGGCCAGCACTGAGAAACCCCTCAGCCCACCAGCCGCCGGCGTGGCACCCAGGGCCTCTGTCCTGAGCCTGTGTCCCCCACCTCTCACCTGCCAGGGGCACCCACAACCAGGAGCCTACTCCCCCACGAGTTTTAGGAAGCCACACACGTCCAGACACAACTTCAGCAAACGTCTCACCTTCCTCTCCGTCCTGCTCTCCTGCTTCCTTCCTCCTGCGGATCCCCCGTCCCCCTGGCCCAGGGCTGCGGGGAGAGGCCCGTCTTCGTCCGCAGGCTCTGCCTCCCCGTGAGCAGAATCGGCTGGAGAACCCCAAGTTAGCTCCTTGAGGAGCTCTGCCCCCACTCATTTTCTTGGATACCTCTTCCCGTTAGGAGCAGAAGCACAGAGCAGCTGTGGCACGAGTTGAAATGGCTGCAGGATGCCTCCCTGAAGACCCTCCCCACTGCCCTTGGGGGAGGGGGAGAGGTGGAGGAAGGAGCGGGGGCGGGGAGGCAGACCACTTCTCCTTCGTCCTGTCTTCCCTTCCCACTCCCACTCTGGGCCGCCGCCTGGACTCGGGGGCAGGACGCGGGGACTCAGGTCCTGCCTGTTGGTGCAGCCGCTCTTGCCCGGCATCAGGTGTTGGTGTCTCGGTCAGCTCTGGCTGCTGTAGCAAAGCGCCATCGACTTAGACAACAGCTGTGTATTTCTCACCGTCCGGAGGCTGACAAGTCAGAATCAGGTGCCGCAGAGTCGGTGTCTGGGGAGGGCCACTTCCTGGTTTGCAGGGGCTGCCTCCTTGCTCTGTGCTTTCAGAGACCTCTCTCTCCTCTTCTGTTAAAGGCGCTAATCCCAGCAGGCGGGTCCCACCCTCATGACCTCATTTAACCCGATTTACCTCCCAGGGGTCCCAACTCCCCATACCATTGTATTTGGGGTTTAGGGCTTGAACGTAAGACTTTGGGGAGATACAAACAGTCAGTCCCCTGCAGTGGGACGTCCCCCCAGTGTTGCCCGGCCACTGCATCGCTGGAATAGGGTCCTTAGCGCACAGGAGTGGGTGCCCGGACACAGTGTGACAGGATGGGCACCGGGAGCAAGGGCCTGGGCGAGCTCTTCCTGTGCTGCCAGTGGCCTGAGAACCGGGGCCTCATGTCACTGCCCCGCCTGGCCATTCCCTCTGTGAGGCCCTTGGGGAGGGTTCCCGCACCTCCCAGTCTTTGCACGTTTATTAAACAATCGCTGTGCCTCTTCCCACTGCTGCGGTTTATGGGCTTCGGGGTCCAGAAGCCTGAGCCCCAGCCTGGCTGCCAATCAGGGCGGGTGAGCAGAGCAGGCGGGGGCAGCAGCCTGCAGGCCGCACCTCCTGCTGACTCCCCCATCAGGCTCCAAACCCTGTCGCTCTCGCCCAGAGGGTCAGCAGGGGAGTGTGGGGGCCAGGTGCTGGCGGGTGGAGGAATGAGAATGCACAAGCCCGTCGGGAGAAGGGGCGGCTCCCAGGGCTGACTCCACTCACGCCTTCCTCTCGGGCCTTTGGAAGGGCCCTCACCCCCGCTTTCCTGCTGCCAGAGCATCCTTTCGAGTCCGTGTTCCTCATCTTCACTCCCTTTTCCAGGTGGGCAGGTGGCCAGTGTTCAGAGCTTCCGGAACGTGTGGGCTTGGCTGGGCCCACGCCCCTGTTCCCGCTCTGCCCTGGGGAGGCCCCCGGGGGAGGGTGTGCACGGGCCCCTGCCCGCCCTCTGACCCTCCTGTTGTGTGTCCTCCACAGCCTGCGATTGCCACCCCGTGGGCGCTGCTGGCAAAACCTGCAACCAAACCACCGGCCAGTGTCCCTGCAAGGACGGCGTGACCGGCATCACCTGCAACCGCTGCGCCAAAGGCTACCAGCAGAGCCGCTCCCCCATCGCCCCCTGCATAAGTACGCGGGCGCCTGCTCCTGGGGCTCCGGCTTGGGTGTGGGTAGGGGCCCTTTCTGGAGGCGGGTCCCGCCACCCAGGGAGAGTAGCTCATGGGTGTGATCTCTGCCTGGGTGGGACCCCAGGTGGGACCCCAAGCCGCGGGGTGCTTGCTGGAGCATCTGGTGTGCAGCAGAGCCAGCCTGTCTGGGGCTGTCTGTCCTGACCAAGAATGAGTCGGGGAAGCGAGCCCACTCCTATGCCTGGGTCCTGTTTCCATGTGCCACCTTGACCTTGGACCTGGGTGGGTGGGTGGGTGGGCAGAGCAGGTGGGGGCAGCAGCCCGGAGGTCACACCTCCCTGGTGACTCCCTCAGACCTGGCAAACCCCAAGCCCCATCCAGCTCCAAACCTTGTCCCTCCCGGCCAGAGGGCCTGTACCTGGGCCGCCATTGCTGCTGTGGGAATTCACACCCCCCGCTGCTGGCCGACACCAGGACTTTTGAGGGAAGCTGGGAAGGCTCCCATGGCCGTTATGAAGGATGGGAGCAGCCCGGAAGGTGCTGGAGGCCCCATCGGGCCAACTACGGCCCCTTCGTTGCTGGAGCTTGGAGAGGGAGTGAGGAGGTGGCAGGGGCCTTGGCTCAGCCAGTCTTCATGTTTTACAACCGGTGGCATCACACAGGTGTCGGGAGCAGAGGCTGAGCCCTGGCGGAAGCCGGGTCTGGGGGGTGCAGGC